TGTTACAACTTGACTCAGTGGAGAGTCGAGGTAAATCCTGGACACTGAAGGTCACTAGGCTAGGGAAGCAGAGGTCACAAACATTGAAGAGACACCATCCAGGATGCTGCAACCAAATTGGAAATGCAGAGGAAAACTAGATACAAGAAAAGAAAAATGGAGAGTATAGATGCCCTGTCCTTCTGGAACAATTGTCTTGTTCTCAATGACTCCAGGAAAGAATCAGCCTTAAATGCCACCTTTGGATTCATCAACTGTGCCATCTGTGAAAATGACCAATTCTGCCCATACTTTTATGAAAGTGGGAGTCAACGATGATGGTTAATTTTATTGCGCCTAATTTATCAATTCAACTTTATCACAGATATTATGTATGTATAGGAAATGAAAATATATACGAGTGACTAATGGAAAGTCCACAGTCCAACCTTTAATTGCTTAAAAAAATTCTGATGTTTGATCATCTGGTCAGATTTTAGAAGGCAAGCCAAATTGCGTATTTTTCAGCTCCCACTTCTATTTAATACAATCCTCACCTTCCAGTTATCTGTTACAAGTTTTAGAACATATCCTCTATAGAATGGTTTGGAGGGGGGGTGCTACTGCAATTTTGCTTGGTAGTAAATGAAAAGTCACACTAAAATAGTATTGAATATGAAGAAATATAACACCTTGGTAATTAATACTTTTGCTACTTCCTTCTAAGTTAACATTTATTTTGGGTAGTGTTAAGGTGTTTATACAATATTGTTATCAACAAAATCCCCCAGGAGTCAACAATTCATCTTTCTTTCTGAACATTATTTTTTAACTGTTTTCCCCATCTGCATTTGATGTTAGCTCTTTGATTGCATTGTTAATTTTTGTACCAATGGGTGTATGCCAGGGTGAGAAAAGAACAACTGACACAGAGAAATAAGCAGAGAATTTTTTTTTTTAAATCTGCAATTTTATTGGTCATAATCTGATATCTCAGTTTCAATCACTTTCCCACTGCCATAACAGCTTCCCCTGTGCCTTTTCTATAAATATTTTCTTAGTAATTGTTTTAATAAGCTTTCCTCTTTAGAACTTCCCCTTTCATGAATTTAAGTGCAGTACTGGATTGACATGTGAGACTCATCTTTTTACTTTTGAAATTGTTAAATGTAACTAAGTTCTATTCTAACACTTTTTCTTGCACTTCTCACCTGTGGAAATCTCTTCTGGATTTTTGCTTTCCTGCCAACTACTATCTTCAAATATTCAAATGCAATGCCAATCATCATCTTCTGCCCTCTTTGTCCTGTTCTTTTATTGTCCTCTCTCCTCACTAAAGACTTCTCATTCTTTTTCACTCTCAGTAAACCCTTGGGTTACAGTGGCTTTATTGCCTTACTTTGGGTGAATTGATTAAACAAAAACTAGTACTTCATTACTATGAATTTGGACTTTTCCCTGTTGAGAGAGCAGAAAAGAATCTGTCAGAGTGATGAGTTTCAATGTCACAAGCTCGTCCTAGTAAGATTTACTTTCATTGGGTAATCTATTAACACATTCTCTTTAGGTTAACTTTATCCAACAAAGTGTAGAATGAGACAACACCTACCATAGAGTGCTTATTTTGCAAGCAATTACTTATGAGTATGATTCTTTATGAGTACTCCATTGATCTAAAGTTGAACAATAATTAAGGTTATCTATCTGCCATTATCTACCGTTGATTTCAATTTATCTAGGAATGACTGCAGAACACTTGCCCCTCCCCTTTTATAGGCAAAAATGCATGCTAGGATTTTTTCTTAGCCAATAAAATTGGCTAGTTTGCAGTTTGACATGACTCAATCTCCATCTGCCTTGTCTAGAAGTCAAAATGCTACATTTGCTTGTCTGAACGTGCTTTTGTTTGTTGCTGCTAATTCTTGGTTTGTTAACCTTTTGCCTTTTTACTATTAATTTGCCTTGCATATATTGTTTGCTTGCTTGCTTGAGATTATTTCATTTTGCCCTGTTACTTTTTGTTTTTATTGTAATCTTCCCGAATTCTGTTTGTTGGACAGTTTTGATCTTTATTTTGCATTTAACCATAGCTACTCACTCCAGAATGGAAGGTTGATTTTAACAATTCCTTACGAGTCAAAATATATTTTGAATTATAATAATTTTTTCTTTTCTGAAAGTGAATATTGCATTAACAATTTTTTTCAATAATAATCATTTTTCCAGATACAAATCCTACAATTCAACCCATAGCTTTTTCCAAAGGTATTTGCATGTAAAATAAGGTAATGAACCCAACTGGAATTCAAACTTGGCCCTCCAATTTCTACTCCCAAGACACTATCCACCATCTTTATTGTCTACAAGGATTATCTACCATAAAGCAATGATTACTGTATGAGAATTGGTGGGTTCAATCTTTGAGATATCTGATAACCTACATTTATGGTTGGTTGGGTTTTATGGCATATCAACCACTGTAGGTCATTTAATGCCAAATTAAGTTTATATATATATATATATATTAAATATACAGTACTATTAAATGTATAGCTGGCAACATTATTTTTTCAAAAATGTATAGCCCTACATTTATGGAAAAGTTTTGTGATACTGGTGTAATAGAATAGTCACCCCCATGAATGATTACACTATAGGTAGTAAGTACCTATAAAGTCTACTATCTACGAGAGACTTGGAGAGAAGTGTGAGAGTGAGACAACGCAAGTACATCTGACCTTCCAATTAATGGTACTCTCTACTAGATTGACCTGTGTGCATAACTGTAATGTATTTCATATTGTACTTGTTGCGTACAATAAACCTTCTAGTATCCACTTGGTGTTAAGTGTTTATAATCCATTAACACAGAATATAACAGATACATATTTTACAAGCATTCTGAGAAGTGTTTTTGAAGTTTACTCTGTTCTTTATTGCTTATATAATCAAGTCAGCTGTTGTACAGAATTTACAAGCATTTTGAAAAATTAAGAAACTAGGAAAATTCATTCTATAGTAACATATGGAGATGAGCATCAGTGAACATTTGTCTTTCTCTCTGGAAAAAGGCACTTGTCATGGAGCTATGGTTAACAACCTTGTCAAACTAATTACTACTACTACTGGATTGGATTTAGTAAATATCAAAACACTTATTAATGAAGATAAAGAATTTTATACACTTAATTCTGAAGGTATTTAGAGAAAACTTAAAAAAAACATCTTGGCTCCATAATACAAAATCATGTGATTTTGCTTTAGAAATATTACAGGACTAAAATTCTACTTAAATTTGATTAAAGCTTAAGCCACTCCACTCAGTGTGGCTTAAGCAATTTATAACAGGGGTGGGGGTGAAAGTGAGAGAGAGAAATAAAGAATGTAAAATTAAGCAAAAAAAAAGGGGGGGTTAAGAGAGAGAGAGAGAGAAAAAATGTAAAATTAAAAAAAAAAAAAAAAAAAAAAAAAAAAAAATTACTAAATTGATTATTGTATTCAAGAATACTATAAGTTCAGTTCCATTGAAATGTCTTTTTCTATATATTAAGGCTTACAGCCATACCACGTTAAAACACCACTTCCTGTACAATGACTGAAGTTAAGCAATGTTGGGCATGGTCAATACCTAGATGTGTGACAACCTGGGAATACCAGGTCCTGTAAGTTAGGATGTATATGTGGTGTAATGGATAATGGTTCAGAATTGTTAATCACAGAGCCAAGTTCCAATTCATTGTGTGAAACTGACCCAAGTAATTGCTTTCCAAGCAGACAAAGTTTCTTCGTATACGTAGTACCATGTTCACAAGCATCTTGTCCTCTTTCTCTCGCATGTGGTGTTTTTTTTTTTATGCCAAGGTGATCTTGCAAAAACTTTGCATACACCCAACCACTCTTTCCAATTCTCCTAGCTCTGAGACTGTGTCTTAAATTAAGCTTTTAGGACAGCCATATTTCTTTTTCCTATCCTTAACTCACTTTGCACACCAGGCATATACATGCTCACTTTGCTACACAAAGTATGTCATCTTATCTTCTACATTCATTTTATTCACTTACATGCAAATACCACTGGGAAAGGTATGAATTCACCTCGTCTCCCCAGTTATGGGTTAATTAGTAAGACATGTATCACTAAATCATTAACAAAAAAAACCCAAAAAAACAGACTTGAAGTAGAGCAACTACATCAAATCAATAACTGCATCTACTGCAAGGAAAGTTGGGTCACTGTGTCGTGTCAGATTACCTTGCTTAAACATAATAAAATGTGGACACATACATAATAAGCTCATCTTGTGAACCAATGTGTTCATGTAGTTAATTTGATCCTCAGTGGGTGATGCATGACTAAGTTTATGCTAGATTAGATGAAGATTAACAAATAATTATTCTATGATTGTGCATTTCCCACTTATTTTAGAGATCAGTGCCAGGATTTTAAATGCTGATTTTCTATAAAGGTCAGCTAGCCCTCCCCATTAGGAAGATCAGTACAACATAATCTTCCTACTCTTATTCCCCCACTTCATTTGTCTTTGACAGATTCAATTAAATATCAATAGAATACAGGTTTCACAATTATAACATCTGAAGAATTTTAATGAACATTTACGTTTCTTTTCTTTAATGCGATAAAAGAATTCTTTGGTCCCGAGGAGCTTTTCATTAGGGACAAAAAGCATTAAATCTTTTTCTTTTATCCAGAAAACATTTACAAGATCCCTGCTAAGAAAAAAGAACAAATTACATATAATGCAAGCTGAATTGGGTACTCTTTAAAAGAAACATGTGCTGTCCATAAGAAGCCGGTTAAAAATGCTGCAGACTCCTCTTGACGCACCTTGAGGCCAACTATTTGAAACTCTCCTCCTAAGCTAAACCACCCTCAACTAGCACACTGCTAAAAGCAAAGCAAGCAACAAATGTGAGCTATATGCCAACATGACAAATCTATTTTCTCTCTTTCTCTACCCCAAGGGCCTCTTTCAGACCTACAATAAGCAAATCACTAAATACTACCATTTGCCAATGAAGATGAACATAAAGAGGGCTTGCACAAACAGCAGAGGAGTGGGCGGGTGTCTGTGGGTGGGGAGGTTTGTGGCTGCCTGCTTGCCTGTCTGCCATGTACAAGAAAAGAAAGGCTGATGGTAAAAAAAAAAAAAAAAAAAAAAAAAAAAATATATGGAAAAATAGTTTGAGCCAAAATTGGAAGTGAAATATGATTCTGGGTGTCTATAGAAGCTTTTTACCTCCGCCAGAGAAATGTTCAAAAACAGACAGAAGAGAAAGTAAAAGAGCTTAAAAAAAAAAGAAAAAGAAAAAAAAAAGAAAGAAAAAAAAAAAAAAAAAAAAAAAAGAGAAACAGGTGGGGGAGAGAGGACAGAATCACTCCGTGTGTATTTCTTCAGTTAATTCCATCTCATACATAATGTGTATAGAGCACTTCGATGTAATGCCAATGGTTGGCAAGCTTGTCTAGCTAGATCAATTATGACTGAGTAGCAAGTTTGTTCCTCACTGGGTGCTCCATACTTTTGACCTAGTGCCACATCCAAGTTATGCTTAGAAAATTATTTTTGGCACCTTGAGGCAGTGTAAATGTTAGCAAGCTTGTCTGGCTAGATCAGTTTTGACTGAGTTGTGAGTTTTTGCTTAGAAAATAACCCTACATAATGTGTGCAAAAAACTTAATTTAAACAGCAATTTTCTTTATTTTTAAAGGTCTAGTTAAAACTAACAGACAAGGCTATTTTATTAACTTCAAGCAGACTTGAAAAGCAAGAACAGACTTATTCTTTTTGCTGGTTATTCACCCATCTTCAAAATTGGAAACTGATAATGTTGATTCAGTTCTGTTTGACAGCATAAATAACATTTCATTATAGATGCTGGTGATCATCTTCTTACTGGTACAACTGTCAAAATACAACTTTGAAATTTGCAGATTTTCATCAAAACTTATCACTTTATTCAAAATGTTTGGGAAGGAATAAGCAAAGCACAAAATTTCCTCTCCAGTCAAACAAGGAATACATTTTGGTTGGTTATCATGGAATGGCTGCAGAACACAAATAAAAAAAAAAAAAAAAACTCATCTTCCTTCTGCTGTCCACTGTGCTTAGGTGATCATATTTCAAGACATTTTCTTGGTTAAATTTCAACCAAGGTTTATTAGCAGACAATCTTAACGGCATAAGATACACATATGACACAGTATTGAGAGCAGACATAGAAAGGAAACTGCAGGAACTCCTAAAGAAGGTAGTGAAGGAAAGTGAGAAGAAAGGACTAAGCATCAATTGCAAGAAGATAGAATACATGGTTGTTAGCAAAAAGGAAAAGCCCAACATGCAAACTGGAGATATCAAAATCAAGCAAGTACAACAATTTAAGTATCTGGGAAGTGTATTAACAGAAGTTGGAAATACAACACGGAAATACAACACTGAAATCCAAAGGTGTATTGGGATAGTGAAAGATGCCTTTCAAAAGCTAAAAAAAGTATTAAGAAATAGAAAAATTTAATTAGAAACAAGAGTATCAATTATAATAGACAATGGATGATTATCAGCAAAAGCAACAACCCAAGAACTATGAAGTGGAAATGCTAAAATCAAACAAGTACAACAATTTAAATATATGGGAATTGTTTTATCAGAGAACAGAAAGTGTGACTGAAATCCAAAAGTGCATTGGAAAAGCAAACAATCCTAAGCAAAGTATTAAGAAACATGAAAATTTCATTAGAATCAAAGAAAAGAGTGCTAAACTGTTATGTAATAACATAACCCCTATATGGCAGTCAATACTGAACAGCCCCCTCACAGATGAAGAAGAGACTTGAGGCGACAGAAATATGGTCCTACAGAAGTGTTATGGGATCATACCCATAATAATAATAATGGACTATTCCATACTTAATAAATACTGTGCCTCAGGAGTAGGCAAGGAGTCAGTAGTTCAAGTCGAGTCAGAGGCCGTCCTAAACAGAGTTGCGTTCAGACAATTACTGCAAGACATTGGAATAGTGATACTGGTCGAGACTACATTGTTCTCTCTACTAAACCTGATTGTTCATACTAACAATTCTACTTCTCTGTATATATTACTGTTTGTAATATATCTGTGTTATTCCATACCTGTGTTTGAGTTCTTTATTGGTTCTACCTTGGACTATCACAGTGGTACAAGGAACTGGACCATAACAAGAAGGATGCTGAGAATACCATGAACTGAACATGTGAATAATGAGAAAGTTTTAAAGAAAATAGAAACAAAAAGAATGCTTATACTTAGAATCAGAAACTGATAGTTGAAATTTCTAAGACACAGTGAGGAAAGAGGACTTGGAGAATTTGACACTGGCAAGATATATTAAGGGACAGAGGGAAACATTGAATAATATTAACAAGCCTGTGTAAAGGAACGGCAGAACAGAGAGTGGGAGGGATGGTGAAAAGACAAGCCTTACGAAGAGCTACAAAAGATAGGAAGTTGTAGAGAGCCATGATTGCTTACATGCTGAGGGATACACAGCAAATAAAAGAATACATTGACAAACCCTAAATGCAATATTCATTCAGTTTTTAAAAAAATCCAAAGCAGTAGAAAAATCACACAGGAAATTAAACTAATAATTCATTTTCTCTTTAGTCTCTTTAATTTATTAGACATGCATGAGTTGTAAAAGATGTGATAATGTATTCAAGAAATAAACATCAACACCTGGGAAAAAGAAAAAATTCCAAAATATATGGAAATTGTAGTAAAAATTCTTTTTGTTTTCATGAGTTTTTTTTTTTTTTTAATCATTTTATCCCAAGCAAGGCAATAAAGCCATTAAGACAATGGTTTATGAAATGTGAAAGGATATAAGAAAAGGAAAAATGTTATTAAAGAGAGAAAACAATAAAAGAGAAATTAATACAAAAGCTTGACACTGCATTTAAATTTTTGAAGATCAAAGTTGACTGGAAAGCATGAGGCTAGAAGAGAGTTCCACAAGCAAGAAGTACAAGAGAAGAAACTGTTAGCATAGCCATTTCAACATTAAAATGATGAGACCTATCTGCCAATCTAGTACTGCACTTAAATTCATAACATCGAAGAACCAAAAAGGAAAGTTCATCAGAAAAATTACCATGAAAATATTTATAGAAAAGGCACAATGAAGATACATTACATACATTACAGTGGTGGGAAAGTGACTGAAGCTGTGATGCCAGGTCAGGACAGATAACAATGCAGATTCTTCTATTTTATCAAGAATCTCTTACTACATGACAAAAGAACCAGACCAGACCAGACATGGCAGCAATGTTTAATGCATTGATGAAAATATGACCATCACATATCTGATTGACCATATCATCAAAAGGAGGATTCTTCATTGACATCAAGTCTTAATCACAGGCAATATTTTCAAAGTTGGTTATACCCTGGTACCCTGGTTTTAGAAATTTCACTTTGTCTAAGAAAGATGTAGGTTTGGTTCATTTGTTTTGTTTTACAGCACATCAACCTCAATGGGTCATTTAATGCCGGCAACATTTTTTTTTTTTTGGTAATAATTTTGTTTTGTCAAAAATCTATTTCTGTTAATATTTTTTTTTCCTCAAAAACATACAGCTGGTAATAAGATTTTTTTTCAAAAACGTATAGCTGGTAATAAGATTTTTTCAAAAACATATAGCTGGCAACACTATTCTTTCAAAAAAAAAAAAAAATAAAATAAATAAATAAATAAATAAATGAAAAATAAAAAAAAAATTATAGCTGGTAATATTTTTTCAAAAACGTATTATCAGACTTGAGGTTCGGCATGAGTTTGAGGCTAATATCCTCTTGAGGTATGGGGCCTCAAGGGGACATCTGTTCATCGTGACTAGTGGTAGTTAGGGGTCTGCTTGGCAGTGATAGAATTTAACCAGTTTGTTTTTAGAGGCATTGAATATAACCAGCCATTTCCTCCCCCTCTGGAAAGTTAGTGTTAAATCAGAAGAGAAATCAGCTTCCAATCTCTGATCATCAAGACTTTTAGAGGTACACTCATATATCATCAGTATAAAGGTTTACAAATGATCAGAGTATATTCTCGAGTTAATTATTGTTCTCCACTGCCTTAACTGGGTATTGAACTCACTCTTTGGGTCCTGTCACTGAATCTAACCAATGCCTTTATCCACTTTAAACATGGCACAGATGAGGACAATAGTCCGAATAATGTAAATAGTGTAAAGAAAAAAAAAAAAAAAAGTGATAAAATCTGTTAAAATATTTAGCATGTATCTATGATGACAAACAAGCCTATTGGCTTTAAAGATAAGCTCAAGTGACACATTCCAATTTTAACCATTTCACATTCATTTTTAAACTTTGTTTAATACTCAGCTTGCAAGATTGGATCAAAAGTTTATAGCATGATACAAATTTATGAGCTAAATTTTTATCTAACATTTTTCATGTATAATGTTTGATTCATATGATTGATATTGGATCAGAAATTTTTGCAGCCTTTTTAAGTGAATTTCAAATACCACATTTACATATTTGTAAATAACATACATGTAGCTGAATAGATTTATTTTGTTCCATAACTTTTCACCATCTTTGAGGCAGCTGTTTCAATAAATACCTGATTCCTCCTGCTATCTTCTACATTTACAAGAGCCAGATCAGGCCCAAAATGGAGTACTGCTGCCATATATGGGCAGGAGCTTCTCAGTCTTGATAGAGTTCAAAAGTATCTCCACAGCCTTGTGGGTGATGATTTATTTCCCATCTTCTAATCCCTTTCCCACAGACCAAACATTACAAGTATCTTGGTGCTCTATCGCTATTTCTATGGAAAGTGTTCAGATGAATTATATTCCTTAGTTCCACTAGTTCTGACTTTCATGAATAAGACTCACCATGCCACTAACTTTGTAGTGAACTACCCTCATTCACTTTGTGTTCCACTTTAGCTTCTTCCCACAAACCACTGCTTCATGGAACCAACTCTGAAGAGGATGCTTCCCCAAATCACTACAATCTTAACTACGTACCTCCACTAATTCACACTTTTCACTGAACAAAAAAAAAAAAAAAAAAAAACACAGCATAGCATAATGAAAAAAGGCCCCAAACTTAAAAACAAAGTTTTATCATCACCAAAGGATTTCTTGATTATTTTATTAAATTTTTTAATCCTTTCTAGCACCTTCAAAATTTTAATTAAAATTGTCAGATTTTAATGAAACTTTTAGGACTTATTCACAAATCAATGAAATTATTTCTGAATTTTTTTTTTACCCTA